CGAGACTTAGTTGTTTTTTTGAGACAGAGTCTCACTCTGTTGCCCCGGCTAGAGTGAGTGCCGTGGCGTCAGCCCAGCTCACAGCAACCTCAAACTCCTGGGCTCAAGCGATCCTCCTGCCTCAGCCTCCCGAGTAGCTGGGACTACAGGCATGCGCCACCATGCCCGGCTAATTTTTTCTATATATACTTTTAGTTGTCCAGATGATTTCTTTCTCTAGTAGAGATGGGGTCTCGCTCTTGCTCACTCTGGTCTCAAACTCCTGAGCTCAAAGGATCCACCCGCCTCGGCCTCCCAGAGTGCTAGGTTACAGGTGTGAGCCACCTCGCCCGGCCAGAGTTCTAGTTTCAACCCGCCCTTTGCATTAACTCCACACATCCTCTCGAGCCCCGTGAATCTCTCTGTCCCTCAAAGCCTTCCTTTCCCTCGGGGACTGACGGCTGCCGCTCAACTCTTGGCGCTGCTTCTGCCACACTCCCGTGGGTCACGTGTCTGGACGGCAGGACGGCTGGACAAGGAGACGCCGTGCAGACCAGACGTGGGCAGCCGCAACGTGTGCCCACCGGCCCACGGACCGCCGGCTCCGCCCCCAGGTCAGTGGCCACAGAGGAAGGTCTACGTGTCAAGAGTAACTCGAGTCCAGGCACCTTTTCTTCTCGTGCCCAGAGCCGCTTCCTGCCACCTGGCCGGGCCCGCTGGAGAAGGTCCGTCCTGCCTGTGCTTGGGCCCCCTCGTCCCTTCCTCGGATTCTTCACGATAATTACGTGATAATGAGTCCAAACTGGAATCAGAGTCAAAAGACTATGCCTGACGTCTCGGCATCTCGAGTGCAGAATAAACGCTCAGGTTCTCGCCGCAAGCTGATGGGTTTGGGGAACCCGACCGCAGAGCCGTGTGAGGTCTCGGCTGAGTCAAGGCGGAGTCACGCCGAGGTGGGCCCGGCGGTACCGTGTGACCTTACAGCAGGAAGAAACGTATTCATCACCCGAAAGCCAGATTCACGGTGCGTGGTTTAAATCGCGATGGCTGGTTTCTAGGGTGCACTGAGTTTACGCACGACCTTCTTAGACTTCACCACGTGCAACTCGAGGGTGCACAGAACCCCAAGTCTCAAGGAGAGCTTGGTCCTGCTCGGTCTCATTGTTCTGTCATTATTTTTGAATAGTTTGTTTTTCCCTGTTGCTTCTTCAGTTCCGGGTGTGGAATAGAAGTAGCTTTTAAAAAGACCCCGGCAATAGCCGGAGAGTTGCGTTCACGCTCGGCTCCTGCTGCGCAGAGTCTGGGGCGGCCAGGGAGAGGAGGGGAGGGAAGGGGCCGACTGTTTGTTCCTCAGCAGGGACCACCTGCCAGCCTCACCTGATTACCTCCTTAGAGCTTCAGAGCACAAAGGAGGACAGGCCCTTTCTCTCGTACCCCGGGGAACACTTTCTGCACAAAAGGTGCCCCACATCCTTTGTGGCACCCACGTCCCCACGGCGCTCTCAGACAAAGCCACACTGACGAGGCCACGCAGACATCTCCAGCCTCTGCCGAGCAGCAGATTCCCGCCCTGGCTCCTGCGGTTCCAAAGAATAGAAGCATTAATATGTAGGACGGCCCAGCTGGCCGGCCACCCACCCAGCAATGCTGGTCGGTCAGGCGAGGCTTGGCTTTAAGTCTGAATTAAAGGAGAGAACTTTCTGTAAAGAAAAAGCACTTGTCGTTTTAAGCACAACTGCAGGCCTGTGAGTCGCCGTGAGTGGCTTTCTGTGCTCGGGCTGCTGGCCTGACAGCGAACACCTGTCGGAGTCACAGGTGCAGACCTCTGACCTTCCCTCTCCAGCACTCGCCGCGTGGGAACACCTGGGCAAACACACGTCAACAGGGGACTGAGCAAACAAACCAGGTTACTTCCCTGCTTCGGAACAGGGCAAGGCTGTGAAAATAGCAACACGATGGGAAGGATGGCACGGTCTGCCTTAACAGCAAAGCAGGTTGCAGAACCTTTACACACTGTGACCCACCTTGCAGGGACAAGCAGAGCAAAGGGAGGGACAGGCAGGTCTGTGCAGACAGCATCGATCCTGCAGTCGCTACCCCGAGACGACAGGAGGGAGCGGGAGGATGTCCCGTTCTGGGCAATATTTGTCCGTAACACTGGAAGGCTTGGAGCCCTTCTGTGCAGTTTCTGTAATCTCAGAAATGCTGCTCTTGAGGAGAAAGGAGCATGCCCCGTCCTCACCAGGGAAGACGGCTCCTGACACCTGCAGACCCGGCCCCTCCCTCAGCCGGTGCTATGTCCGGGCAGACGAGAGCCTCCCTGCCGCCTGCTTTGCCCCAGGAAACGCACCAGACTGGTCCGTCCGGCTCCTCTCCAAGTTTGGCCTCCTGAGAATTCTATTTTTAGCAGTGTGTGCGCGTTCCTTTGGACAATGCAGGCTTGAGCAAGGCATTTATTAGGAATAGATTTTTATCTGCCTGCAGCACATGCCTAAGACTTAGCACACACACACACACAGTCATCCATGTGTGCACATGTCCCTTCATGTATACACATGCAGACACACACGTGGTACACACGCACATACCTGCACTCAGTCCTGCTCCAGCTACCGTCTCGGGCTCTGGGCAGCCGAGGGAGGGTGTGTGGGGGCCGGGGAAGGCTGGCGTGCAGCCGTCTGTCAGGCAGACCGAGGCTCCCTGCGGCCACGTGCGGCCGGGAGTTTGTGGTCTCTAGGGAGGGGCTGAGGATGGGGCACCTGCTTCCCCATCCAACGTCCTCAAAGGTGCCTGAGGCCGGCAAGCCCCTGCCCAGCCCGCTGCTCCCTTTCCCATCCAGGCTGTTTTCCAGGGGGAGGGTCTCACCAGAAGGTGGGAGCACGCGGTCAACACGTGGGTGCAGCCTCTGCCCTGCAGGTCTCAGGACGGGTCAGAGCGAGTCCTCACTCAGGGCACAGACATGAGTCGGGTTTTATTGAAGTATTTACACAGCTCATTCCCACTCCACGGGGGCGGGCGTCTGTGACGTCCCATACACACTTGCCACATATAAAGATGCCTGCTGCCGGCAGCCGCCACCCTGCTCACCGGCCAGTTCTGCGGGTGAACGTTCAGCCCCGGCTCAGCTGCAGAGAACGGTCCTGCGCACGTCAGCAGCCACGGCACAACCGGCGGCTGCCGGGGGACCAATGCGCCCGCACGTCCCCGGCGTCCCTGCTCAGGGTCCACAGCTGCCCTGACACTTTGCGTCAGAGCCAAGTCTCGTTTCCTCCGAGCCTGAGAGTGGGGGATGCCCTCACCCACCCTTCCGTTCCTGGCGCCTGGCCAGGCCAAGAGCCCCATGACCCAGGGCTGACGCGACCTCAGTCCCGCGTGGAGCCTCCGCCGCCCCGGCAAACTCTGGCCGGACGTCTGCTGGGTCCTCCGACCGTGCCCACCTCTCCAACCACGCAAACTTGGGGCTCGCTGGGGCAGGAGTCCAGGGACGACCCCAATGCAACGGGGCAACAAGAAGGGGGGCCACCGGGGCTCTCGAGCGTCTCTGGGCCCTCTGCAGCTCATGGTCCCCAGTGCTGTTTGGTCCCATCTCATCTCACTGGGGACACCTTGGTGACACCAACAGGACGGAGCCTTCACCTTCGCTGGGCCTGGCCCAGTGGTAGCCCAGCCCCCGCCCCTGCCCCACCCCGGCCCAGCGCCCAGGTGTCTGTCCAGCACCACCCAGTGTGCGATGCCCCCTGTGCGCAGGAAGAGATGGCCACCTGTAAGGGGACAAGTGGCATTAAGTGCGTGGGGCCGTGGAGGCGCTGGGTCTGGGTCTGGGCTGGGTCTCCGAGGCGAGTCGGTACGGTGGGACGGGCATTTGGCCCGGGGGATGGAGGCTGCGCCCAGACGTGCCTCCTCCCCACTCCCTGGCAGCCATCCAGGGCTCCCCAGACCTGCTCCCCACGGCTGCAACAGTCGGGAGGACCAGCTGGGCCCGCTGTGCCCGGCTCAAACAACTCTCTGTTTAAACAGGAACGATCCTAAGATCATCTTCATTTAGAACAGGAGTCCTGTTCCCACCAGAACCCATCCCTGTGCCCGCGTGGCCGTCACGGGCCTGGCTGCAGCTCCCAGGCCATTTGGGAGGGGACTGCTCCTGGGTGGGGGGTCACAAATGCCAACACCCTCCCCTCGGGTTCATGACCTGAGGTCTCAGCCCCCTTCCCTGGGGAGGCAGACGGCCCTTTGAGCACAGCAGGCCGGGCTGTGGAGAGTAGAGGAGTCGGGGTGAGGGGTTCAGGGCAGGGTGAGATGGGGGTGCAGATCTGGTGGGGGCTGCAGGACAGGGTGGGGGTTCAGGGCAGGGTGAGATGGGGGTACAGATCTGGTGGGGGCTGCAGGACAGAGTGGGGGTTCAGGGCAGGATGAGATGGGGGTGCAGATCTGGTGGGGGTGCAGGACAGGGTGGGGGTGCAGGACAGAGTGAGATGGGGGTGCAGATCTGGTGGGGGCTGCAGGACAGGGTGGGGGTGGAGGGCAGGATGAGATGGGGGTGCAGGTCTGGTGGGGGCTGCAGGACAGGGTGGGGGTGCAAGGCAGGGTGAGATGGGGGTGCAGGTCTGGTGGGGGTTGCAGAACAGGGTGGGGGCTTCAGGGTGAAGTGGAGGGTGCAGGGCAGGGCTGGTGGGGGTTGCAGGATGGGGTGAGGGTGCAGGGTAAGGCTGGGGTGCCCTCTTGCTGATCTGCCATCTGTGTCCTGCAAAGGAGGGTGCGGCCCCTCAGGGGACCCAGGAAGCAGGGGGAGGCCCGTGGACCTTGAGGAGGCCCAGGGACAATTGGGGGGGCTGCACTCAGCCTCCCCTAGGCCTCTGCCTGCTTCCCTCTGCAGCGATTGGGCCACGCATCTGGTTGTGACGTCTCAATGACCCCCCCATCTCTCATCTCTTTGGAAATGGATCCATCCGTGTGGCTGAGCATTATAAACGAAAGCATCTAAATGCTGATTAAAGCAAGTCGATTTCCACAGAACCCCAGGTCCACATGTGGGATTAATGAGTGGCCGGCGGATAAAACAAGAAACGCGTCCAGCCACACAGCACCCTGCGTCTCCTGCTGCGTCCACGTGCGTGGTGACCTAGATGACCGAGGTCTCCGTCTGCAGGAAGGACTGGGCCCGGGAGCCTCGGTGGAACTGCAGGGTGCCCTCCGAGCCGTGGCGGGAGGTGGACGTGCTGTAGATCCTGTAATCGCGGCCGACGGAGGGCGCCAGGCACCGGCCGCGCCACTTCCTCCACTTCCGCTTCAGCTCGCACTGCACCTGGGGCGGGGCGCGGGCCGTGAGCGTGCAGCGCAGCGTCCTCTGCAAACCCGGCCCGTCCCCCGCGCGCATGCGCCTCCGCGTGCAGCCCGGACGGGAAGGCTGCGCCGGGTCTGGAACGAGCATCTCAGAGACGCTTCGGTGCTAGCTACTGACCCTGACTGAGGGGGCAGGGGTCACCTCGCAGAGGCTCAGGCGGGCGCCCGAGGAGGAGACGTGCAGAGCGCGTCCCCAGCCCCTCCCCACCAGGGACCTGCCCAAAGACCTGGCCGGTCACTTTCTGGGGAGGGGTCTGGAGAGGGACCGGGGGTCGATGCTGCTGGGAGCATAGGGGGACAGTGAGGTTTCGGCGGGGACACCGTGACACGGGGCGCGGGCTCACCTCGCTGTTCAGGAAGCAGTAGAGGACGGCCACCACCAGGCCCTGCGGGCGAGAAAGCGCCGTCAGAGCCCGTGTGCCCTGCGCGGGGGCCGCCGCTGCGCGCACGTACCTGGAAGGAGCCGAGGCACAGCTCGAACAGGATCTGGTACCGGGAGCCGGCGACGGGGGACACCGCGAACACCACGTAGTGGACGCCGAACAGCGGGATGAGCAGCAGCGTCGACTTGGCCAGCCTCCTGCGCCAGGGGGGACGGACAGCTTAGCGCGCACCACGTGCCTCGGGAAGCGGGAGGCTCCCCCGGGCGCACGGGGCGGGCCGAGCACGGGTCTGACCCGACTGGGCCCGCTAACTAGCAGGAAAACAGACCAGTCAGCTGGAAGGGGAAGGGGCGGGCGGCCACGTGGAGGTCCTAGAGGGAACCCGGCGGCCTCCCCCGTCTGCGCTCCGTGTGTCCTCCACGGATCCCCACCACCGGCAGTCCCGCCCTCCCCAGGGAAAGGGGTTTTCTGGGCATTGCACCAGCGCGCTCTTAGCTCCGCCCTCCCGCAACATGTGTTTCCAGACCCCGCCTCCAGTGAGCTGCTGCTTCCAAACTTCAAGCTGTGCGAGGGTCCCCAGAGCCCCAGCTGAGGTGCAGAGATTCCATCCAGAATGTCCAGGCCGCAGCCTGGGAACCTGCGTTTCCTCCTGGCACCCAGTGAGGCTGCTGCTGTCCAGGCACCCACTTAGAGAACCACTGCTCTACGCCCGTGATGGCATCGCTGCACCCCAGTCACCTAGGGGGCTGGGGAAACCGTCCAGCCGTGTCCTCCCATCCCAGGGACTCGGTCTCTGCAGGGGGACGTTGCCCCAGGCCCCTCCAAGGCGGCCTGTGCACCAGGAGCGCGCGCCCCAGCGGCGGGTGCGGGCACAGCCACCGCGTGCACCTCGGCAGGCCCCGGACCACTGGCCAGGCGGAAGGCCCCTCCCCACCTGCTCTTGCCAGTCGTCTCCCCACACCAGGGAAGAGCCATCGACTTGTTCCCATTAACCCAGAGACACCTGCTCAACTGGAGCACTCACCGCCTGGGAGCGTAAGTTCCAGACGTGCTTGTGTCTCCCAAATTCCCTCGCAACATAAATGCCGTGTCCTGCGGCGTTTACCACGAGCAGGTTCCCCCGTGTCCCACAACCTGCTTGAGCCCAGAGCCCTGAGGCAGGTGTGGAGACACCGAGGGGCCTCCGGGCAGCGAGGACAGGCGCTGCCCACTGGCACCTGCACCTGCAGCCAGGGGTGGTCACAGACCCTGCTGCGCAGGTGCCTGACGCACAGGGCTGGGGCCCCACCCTTTTGTGGGCGGTGCAGAGAAGCTGCCACGTCATTAACACGTCTGAAGTTTCTAGGAAAGAGGTTTCCTGAGGCTGAGCCTCTTGGCCCGTGCAGGGGTTTGGTGCTCCTGTGAGCAGAGATTATACAGAACAGGCGTCATGGGAGCCGGGCCCGGCACGCATGTGCTCTGCCTGTCCTGGGGAAAGAGCAGATTTTTATTACATTATTCCCCGCTTAACTCTGTTCCCAAAATAAAAGCATCACCACGATTTACATAACTAACACTCTTAATGAACCCAAAGAAAAGGTCAGCACAGAAGCTAAATAAGATTTACAGAAAATCAAAACTCAATTTGAAGGGCAGACGGATCTCGTCCCCACCTCCCCCCAACTGCGGCACGAGGTCCCTGGATCCGCCAGCTTTGCACCCAAGCAGGGTGCGACAGCCGTCACCTGTGCCTGGCGTGGAGCCCACCCCTAACACGGGCCGGCCAGAGAGGCTTATTATCCCTTGGATTTCATACAGCACACGGCACAGTTAGAATTACCCGTTCACCAAACTCTGCCACGATACTCTGGTGCCCGGCACTGAATGTCCTGCACATGTTACCTCCATTAAATCCTCATGACCTCAGTGACTAGGATTATTATTATTTCCACTTTGCGGTTGAGGAAATTGAGGCACAGAGTGGGAAAGTGCCCTCCTGCAGGCCCCTCGCTGCTCTGAGACCCAGCACCGGCCCCCGCACACGCTCTCAACCCGCCTTGCCAGACGTGTCCCTGCGTGTGCTAGGGAGGGGCAGGGAAGCTGGAGCCCAGCGTCGTGGGCCAGGCAAGCGGTGGCCACGGGTGACACAGCTGCCTCGCCGGGCCTGGCGGGTCTGGGCTGAGGCTCCTTCTGGGCTGCAGCAGCCAGTCCAGCCTGAGCTCCCTTTATCTTAACTCCATTGCAGATTTTGCTTTTTCTTCACAAACTCTTGACAGAAACTTAGGGAATCTGCACATTTCTTTACAGATTGCTCAGATCACTGATTAGCTGGACGCTGTGGTGACTCGCCTGACCCCTGCTGTGCCTCACCCACCGGAGGGGACGACCCCCGCCTCCTTTAGCCGGTCAGTCAACATGCACGCGGGACCGCCATCAGGCCAACACGCACACGGGGCTGCCATTAGGACGACACGCATGGGACCGCCATCAGGCCAACATGCACATGGGACCACCATTAGGACGACACACACATGGGACCGCCATCAGGCCGACATGCACACGGTACTGCCATTAGGACGACATGCACATGGGACCGCCATTAGGACGACACACACATATGACTGCCATCAGGCCGACACACACATGACCGCCATCAGGCCGACAGGCTCATGGGACCACCATTAGGACTATGCACACATGTGACTGCCATCAGGACAGCGACCATGCGCGGCCATCAGGCCGACAGGTGCATGGGACCACCATTAGGACAACACACACATGTGACTGCCATCAGGACACGCACACATGACCGCCATCAGGCCGACAGGCGCACGGGACCACCATTAGGACAACACACACATGTGACTGCCATCCGGCCGACACGCACACGGGACTGACATTAGGCACAAGGCCTGGTATCAGTGCCGGCAGCAGACACAGGCCCATGGACCGCGTGTTCTGATGGGAAGACAGATCAAACATGAAATGAGAACACCGTGTGGCCACGGAGAAAGACAGGCCACCCGACAGGCAGGCGGGCAAACCCTTAATCAAGCCACGGCACTGCAGAGGATACCGCCCCCCGCCGCCGAAGTAAAGGGGCTCGGCGCCAACTGTCCCCGCCGACCGCGCTGCCGACCCCCGAGCCCAGACACACGCAGACCCCGGCGGTCGGCCGCGCCCACGTGCCCGCACCGAGCGGCCCCAGCCCCGCGCCCAGCCCCGCGCCCAGCCCCGCGCCCACGTGCCCGCACCGAGCAGCCCCAGCCCCGCGCCCAGCCCCCCGAGGGCCACCCGAGGGCTTCCCGGCAAAGCGGCGCCAGGCACCTCTCCGGTCTCCGCGCCCCGCACGCGCCTCCCGCGGCCGCCGGCCCGCACTCACTTGTACTGCGACTGGTCGTTGCCGCCGACGTCGGGGGACGTGAGCTTCTGCAGCAGAATGCGTATGATGCTGACGAAAAGGACGAAGTTGACCTGCACGAGGAGAGAGCGTGCTCGCGCCTGACTCCCCGGCAAGGACGGGGTTCGGGTCTGCGGGCCGCGGGGGCGGGGGGCACCCCGGCCGCTTGGAGCTGCGCAGCGCCCGCCCCGGGGACTGACCCTGGGCCGCGGGCGCGGGAATCAACCCCGGAGAGTGGCGCAGGCGGACGGACACCGGTCTGCCCTGGGGCGCGGCGCCCTCCCCACCCCTCCCCCCACCGGCGCGGGCCTGCGCACAGGAGACCGCGTGGAACGGGCCGGTCACGTCCAACAAGGAAAGCGGCCCGCGTGTGCCCGCGTGTGCCGCGCGCGGACCGCGTGTGCTCCGGTGCGGAAGCTACTTACTAGGATGGAGATTAAAATCGGGATCCGGATGAGCCACCAGGGGACGCTGTGGTCGTTTGTGTCCCAGCAGCTGTCGGGGAGAGAGGCAGACCAGTGGGCGCCACTCCGCGCACACGCGGGCACGTGAGGACGAGGGCGCCTGCGGCTGGCCACGTCCACCGTGCGGGGCGCCGCCGCCTCCCCAGGTCCCGGGAGTCCCGCGGCGCCCGCCCATCCTGCCGGCCCGCCGGCCCCGAAGCACAACTGCTCTGCACTGAGGGGCCGAGAGGCCACCCGTCCCCGGGGAGCGACTTTGGTTTATTCTTCTCAGCGTGCTGGTCGGCGTGGAGGGGAGCCGTGGTCAGAGCAATGGGGTGGGGGGGGCACCGCCAGGAAAGCTCCCCCCCAGCAGTATTTTCACCCCTGACCCCCAGCTGTGGCCGTCTTCAGCAGGCACCATGATTGGCAACTGGCAAAACGCCTCAGTGACCCCTCGGGGGTCACCACACCCTGCAGCCCCCCCACAGAGCAGGGTCTCCGCCACGGTCCCCGTCTGGAGAGTGGGCACTCACGCACATGCACACGCACATGCACACGCATAGGCACGGCCCCGGCCCTAGGGGCAGGGGGCTCCAGCTGCTGCTGCCTCTGGCCAGTCAGACCGCGTGGGTTAGCCCGGCTGAACCTCTGAGGTCCACCGAGCAGTCCGTGTGCAGAATCACACGCCAAGCAAACCGTGATTATTCTAAGCCAGCAACCCTTGGAGTGATCTGTCACTTAGCAGAGAACCGACACGCCCTGAGGCCCTTCATGAAGCGCAAGGGCCATGCTGGGAGCACCACGTGCTTGTGTCTGGGCCGTGTCTGGCTCCCGCACCTGCCACAGGCTGTGTTCTCTCGGGGAGGACGCCTGTCCCCATGGGGCGCTCCCGCTGGCCGTGGTGGCCGGCCCTCGGCACTGAGCGCAGGTGAGCAGCACCTTCGAGGTCTGTCCCAGTCTCATCCTGATGCCCACCTGGGGCGCTGCCCCCTCTCTGCCTGCCCAACCCCAATCCTAGCTACACAGCAAGACCCGGCCTCTCTCCCGTCTCTCACACGGACCTCCCTGCGAACACTCCCGCTCCAGCTGCCTCCCCCCACGGATCCCCACGTCTTCTATCCACGTCACGGCTGCCGCCTGCCGACCTCACTTGGATCGGCTGCAAACGCTTCCTGTCCTTCCAAAGGCCACTCTCTCTCTAGTCTCCAAGGACTTCATGTTGCCGACGCACTTACAGGTGTGGGCGCGGCACTCACCCCGTGTCCTCCAAGTGGAGCCTGGCCACGGCCCACGCCGCCACGCAGACGGTGGGGATGCCTGCGGAGAGACGCCTGGTCACGCACGGCCCACACGCAACCGAGCAGCCTCGCCAGGCAGAGTCCCCAAGGACAACTTTCCGGCTAAAACACGAGGTGCGAACTCTCCTTAAGGTCTCCATAGGCGCGAGTGACACCCATGCTCGACTAAGCAGTGGAGAACATCTGATCAGGGCCGAAACGTGTCATTCCGTGTAGAAAGTGTCACGGCTGAGACCCGTGTGTGGAGGAGGGTGTTGGGCGGGGTAGGCACCTGCTCTCTGACCTCGCTCCGCCAGCAAGCTGAACTGGGGCAGACGGCAGAGGAACTAATGGTTTTGCAGCCCGGTTTGGATTTGGGGTAAAAGGGGCCAGGGATGGGAATATAAAGCATTTTAAACGAGGTTCCTGGTTGCCAGAAATGCTGACATGCTGTCTGCAGGAACCTCCCGTCAGCCTAGAGCTCTTCCCACTATGACTCTGGAAAGCACAGAGCACGCACAGGTGCGCGCTGTCCTTACCCCATCCGAGGAGGAGATAGGCCAGGAAGCACCTGCCGGGGGACACCATGGCCACCAGCAGGGTGTGCAGGTACAGCCCCTCCGCCAGCAGCCAGTAGAAGTTGGCCATGATGCAGTACTGGAAGAAGACCAGGCTCAGCTTGCAGCCGACCTGGACACCAGGCAGAGGAGAGAATGCGGCCTCATTAGGACAGAAATAGCCTCGCCGGGCAGAGCTGCTGCAGGAACAATGTGCCGGGTGTTTGCACGAGGAACGGGGGACCAGCCAGGGCGCCCCTCTGGCAGGGACGTTTTTCACATGGGGTGGGGCCCTGGCAGGGATGGGGTGCTGGAGCGCAGCCCTGCATGTCCGGGCGCCGGGGGACCCTGCACTGAACTCCCAGAAGACACGCACGGCAGAGGCCTCTGCACGTGCTCCCAGAGGGGGGCGCGAGGCTCTGGGAGTGTCTCGGGACAGCTCAGACCTCGGGCCTGGGCATGCCTCCCCGCTGTCCTCCCTCCTGACTCCTCCTCCCTCCTCCTTCCCTCAGGGCCCCAGACCCTCCCCGCAGGCCACAGCAGCAGGGCGGAGGCGAATTCTGCGCCCAGCACACGACTGGGTTGCCGGGCGGCTGCCAGCGCCTCCCTTGCCACCTGTGGCCCGGCGCCCAGGCTGCACCTCCACGTGAGTGAGGGTGCGCGGGGTGGGGGGTGATGTTGCCACGGACACCAGCCGGGCTCCTGGTGAGCAGTTTGGGTGAAACACGCTTAGGAAGAGAAAACAGTGGACCAAAACGAGGCTGCTGGACTCTTAAATTTTTGACAGAAAGTTCTCCAATTGTAAAAAAGTGGTTTTTATCCACTTTTTATCAGTACCAGCGTCGACTATAGTCGACAGCCACAGATGAACGTGCACAGCGACTTTAGCCGACAGCCGTGATATGACTTTTCTAATTCTTCATTTATCAAAATAACATTGTGAACATTAAAAAATAACATAATGAAAACATCTATGTATATGTTACCTATTCTGATTTACATTACAAGTAAAGCTGCCTGTAAAGTGAAACAAGCTTTCAGTGCTTCAAGCTTTCCTCATCACACAAGAGCGAAACGGATTCAATGCACAGCACAGACTATTGTGTGGACTGCGAGTGCCGGCTGTGGGCGAGGTTTCACGGCCGGTGAGCGCCGTGCCGAAGTGGTTAATTTTGGGAAGCTTAAAGATGAAAAAAACAGAGTTTGGAAAAATAAACCTGGCAAATATTTCTATTTTCCCTGGGAGTTTTAAAAAGCTGTGGAAGGCAAGACGCAGGCACCCTGTGCACTTGGAGGGTCTCTACAGTGTCCTGCTGAATGAGGAGAGAAGGTCCAGAAAAGTGTGTTTAAGATGATTCCATTTTCTTGCTGAAACGGTGACAAAAACGTCTCTGTGTTTTTCCCATTTGTGCATTCACCAAGAAACACACTCGCGACAACAGGAGGTTTGGGGATGACGGGTCCTCTATCGACTTCGTCTTCTGCGGCAGCGGCCTGCACCCTGTTCCTCGGTCACATGCTGTGGGGGGACGGGGTCCTTAGGGCCTGCTGCCACCCACACCGGCCGATGTCACGACCCCAGGGTGGGAGACTCCCCAAGGCCAGGTGCCCTGTTAGCAGCAGGGCCCTAGTCAGACCCGTGGCTGTCTGGAGCCTCTGTTGGAGCCTATGTGTGTACATGCATGTGTGCTGGTGCCCATGTGCATGTGTATGCGCACGTGTGTTTTTACAAGTGTTCTGCATGCGTGCATATATACATGATGCATGTGTTTCTGTACATGTGTGTACCTGAGGGCATGCACGTCTTTGGATGCATGAATGTGTGCACATGCACCTGCAAGTGTGTTTTTGTATGTTTCTGTGCATGTGTGTGTTTGCACATGCACATGTGCTCTGCATATTTTTCACATGTGTGTGCACTGACAGGCTCTCCCACTGTCCCTTCCTCCTAACCCCTCTGCTGTTCCAGCCTGGGCTGTGGGCCGAGGATCCCACCCGTGCGGTCACTACGATGCTGTCCGTGCGGACTCCAGCCGGAACCCCCGGCTCAGGCCCCTCCCAGCCCGTGGGCAGCAGGCGGTGGCCGGGCCGGGCTCAGCAGGGGCTGGGCGCCTCCCTGCTCGGATGTTTGGGCCTGGAGTCTGCTTCGGCCTCTGGAGAACCGTCGCCTGCTGGACGCTCCACTCCAGCCGCCCAGGCCCCGTGGAGACGGTTCTGATGCCACGGAGGCCACGTGGAGGGGTGGCTCCACCACCTCTGGGCAGCCAGGAAGGGACCCTCGCGTTCTTGGCTGACCCTAAGTCTAGAGAAGAATTCCTGCCGGTGTGGGGAGCTGCCTGGGGTGTCCTGCTCGGGAGAGCAACGTGGGTTTGGTGAAACCCAGCTGGGAACAAAAACGTCCAAAACAATCAGCCGGAAGGAAGGACAGTTCTTGCTCCTCGTGCCGGGGTCGGACCGTGTTTGTGGCTGACGGACTGACTCAGGACTCTGGCGTTCTTCAGGGGACGCCAGGAGGAAGACCCGGCTCCCCTCTGTGGCCGTGGGCGTGTTCCCCCCCCCACCCAACTTGCACCCCCGCTTCCCCCGTCTCCTCCGCTCTTCCCTCTCACTGGGGTGGGGCCTGTGGGGACGTCTGGGGCCGGGCGCGGGGGCCGTCCCGTCTTGAGCTCCTTGGGCCCTAACGCCGGCCGTGCAGACCTGGAATCTGGCCCCAGAGACTCGGGATCTTTGCTGGGCGTTCCTCTGCCCCGTGACCTCATTTGTAAAACGGGGTGGTCACTTGCGTTCGCCGTCAGCATACACAGAAACAGGCTGACACTCCGGGGGCAACAGTGTGGGGCTGCAGCACGGCGGGCTGGGGCGCCGGGGCTGGCTCGGATCCTGCGCTGCCTGTCAGGGCCGTGAGCTCGGGCAGGTTGGGGCCTCCTGGTTGAAGTGTCCAGGTGGAGGACTGAGCCGCCGCTCCAGACAAACATCTGACTCCGGTGGGTCTGTCGGGGACACCCATCTTCTTAAATAAAGAGCTAAGAAACAAGGCGTCCAGAGGGAGGTCGAGACCGTCCCAGTGAGGGGCACCACCGCTGTGCCGGCATGGGGAGACCCTGTGTCTCAGGACGAGAGCTCCAGGCCCCGACTCCCAGGTGTGGGGCTTCCAGGCGAAGGGTCCTGTCTTTGACTTTGTCATCACAGCATCCACAGGTGCCCTGAGCCTGGTGATGCCCGGAGACCTGCAGAGCAGCCGGCGTTCGGTGGAGCTGCCCCAGGCTTTACCGCCTTAAAACCAGATTAATTCAGATGTGTTGGGACCCAGCACTACGACAGCAGGTGGATCCACCTGCCCGGACCGTGAGAGGGGAGCGAGGTGCTCCCTGCTCCTGCGGGAGGGAGCGGCCCAGCTGGGCAGCGAGGACCCTGGACGGGGCCACGAGCGGGCAGGAGCCTCGTGCAGCAGCAGAGAAACGCGCAGCGGGAGCACCCGCACGCAGGGAGCCCGGTGCTGTCTGCCGTGCTAAACCGGCTGGCGAGGTAGGAAAGAACCACCACGAACGCAGCCGCGGGAGCAGGGTGGCAGGGAGGTGACAGAGCCTGCATCGCATCTGCAGACACTGGTGATTCAGGTCGCATCCTCCCAGCAAAGGCTTGGGCCCAAGCGCAGTCACAGACGTGCGACCGGGAGCACCACCGGGCTGTGTGCAGCGTTTATTCCCCACACAGCTCGACCGGGCTGGACGCCGCATTTATTACTCAGAATCCAGGAGACTTAGGTAGAAAGCGACGGAATTGTGTACACATCCACGTCTCGATGTTCCATCCAAGCCGTGACCGACTCCCGCACCTGGGTCGGTCTGCAGGGGTCAGGGGCTGCCCGCCCGGCCCCCACGCCCTGCCTGCCTCGGAGCCGAGCCCTGCCTTGCTGCCCGCTCTGGCTGGGCCAGGTCTCTCGGGCCTGGCCCTGTGCCCGGGACGCTGTCCCTCGAGAGGTGGGAGCAGAGACCAGGGGCGGAGGCGGCGGGGAGCCAGGTGGGCGGGCGCTGCGCAGGGCCCCGCGTGGGGAGGCCTTACCCAGGAGGACGGCTGGTCGAGGCAGTGCAGGGTGCCCGAGCTGGAGAAGAGCACGTCGTCCTTGACCAGCACGGAGACGGCTCTCAGGATGAAGGACAGGAACAGGTTCAGGTGGATGTAGTTCCTGGTGCAGTGCAGCTTCCTGGGAAAGGGGGGGAGACAGACACTGACTTTGTGGACAGTAACCCCGATAACCACCTGCGTGGCTTTAACCTTCAGCTCTTCTTCTTTCATGGCAGTTAGCCATTTACTTAGCCATTCCTTTACCTCTGTATATTTAGGTTGTTTCCTGTTTTCCATCACGATAAATACTTTTGTGCATGAATCTGTCCTCTTATTCCAGACCATTTCCATGGTAGATTCCTAGAACAGAATCTAAGCACAAAAGCATAAAACCACTGTCCCTGCATCTCCTCCCTGCACCAGCTCTTCCGCGGGGACAGGGAGCACCCCAGCCCCTCCTCAGCAGGTGAGTTAACACCTGGCTGGGCCTCCGAGGCCTCACCTTTCCTAGAAGTTGATTTCTCCCAGTCACAGAGCTCGGGAAGGCGGGATCCCCCCTCTGCGGGGCCGTCTGGACTGTCCTGTGGGAGGGACTCGCCCAGGCCGGACACACAGGACGGCACCTCCCCCTGCCCCGCACGCCTTCTCCCCCTCACACCTGTCCCCTGGCCCTTTCGTGACCCTCGACCTGTGCTGTCCCAGCCCCGCCTCCACTACACAGAGCAAAGGGGGCTGAGTGAGGCTGGGGCAGCTGCACCAGACGCCAGATGCCACCTAGTGTTTCACGCCAACAGGCTGCGGTCCTGGCTGGTGTCAGTGCCCTTCTCTGAGCATGAGTGGGACACTGTAAGGTGTGGGCATTTCGTGGAGGCGGCAGGAGTTAATGCTAACTATGTAAATTATAATGAGTTATTAAATGGAAATAGTTTTAATTACAATATAATTTTTTTTTCTAGTTTAAAAAAGAAGCGTGAGCAAATTTAAAATGAAGGCCAACTATTGATGCAGAATCAAACGAAGACCCAGAAAGTCAGACCACAACCAGGAAAGTGCAGGAGAAGAAGCCACAGGGGCAGGCGGCAGATTTCACACAAATGCAACAGCAATTCGCTGTGACGGGGAGAAATGAGAAAGCTCTGCAGTGTTAAATTTTTTGAGATAATAATATGGATGAGCTGCAGAGATGTTTTTAGCAAATACATATTGAATTGGATAAGACATTGCCTATCAACACTCAAAAAATGGCTGGGCGTGGTGGCTCACGCCTATAATCCCAGTACTCTGGGAGGCCGAGGTGGGCGGATTGCTCGAGGTCAGGAGTTTGAAACCAGCCTGAGCAAGAGTGAGACCCCGTCTCTACTATAAATAGAAAGAAATTAATTGGCCAACTGATATATATAGAAAAAATTAGCCGGGCATGGTGGCACATGCCTGTAGTCCCAGGTACTTGGGAGGCTGAGGCAGGAGGATCGCTCGAGCCCAGAAGATTGAGGTTGCTGTGAGCTAGGCTGACGCCACGGCACTCACTCTAGCCTGGGCAACAAAGCGAGACTCTGTCTCAAAAAAAAAACAAAAAACACTAAAAAAAACTGACATCACCATCGGAAATCAGAACTAAAATTATCGCAGAGCAGGGCCCCGGCCCATCGCTCTCAAGCTACACCGGGAACCCGGCAGAAGCCGCCAGGACCAACCTCGCCACACTCTGGACGACGGTCGAGGTTCACAGAACCCCAGTCAACGGTCCACCGCGAGAAAGCGGAACACGCGCAGAGCACACGTCTCAGCCCCCCACCCCACCCCCCACACGCTCACCCGGCCCACACTCCTCTCGTGGGCACCTGGGCGGCGTGTCTGTCGTGGCCCGTTGTGGGCTCCCTGCAAGATGCTGGCAGCCAGCACGGCTCTGCCTCGCCAAACGCAGATCCCGCAGGTGAGAGGTGGCTTCGCAGACGCACAACCTAAACTGCTGCCCCCAAGCAGCAGCTACCAGCTGAGCAGCCACAGACCAAGGAAAAAAGCCCAAGAGAAACAGCTGGGAGCGATTCTCCTTGGGGAGCGAGGAGACGCACGGGGGAGCCCAGAGCACGGTGCACGCTCAGGGCAGAAAAGACTGAGGCTGTCACGGGCTCCCCTCCGGCCCCCAGAGCAGGCAGGAAGGCCAACTGCTTGTGAGTGCCAGCTGAGCACGCAGGGGCCCCAGACCGGCCCCAGGCAAAGGCCGGGAGACGGCATCTCTTCTCTCCTTTCAGTTTTGCTTCCTTTGGCTCCAGGTATCAAACAGCGAGTTGACGGCTAAGCTAAAGGCACGGAGGGTTCAGAGAAAGGCAGAGACGGGCGCAACCTTTACAAAAATAGCTTGGGGAACCCAGCAAACAAACAGCCACGACTCACAGCAAAAAACAACACAAACCCTAGGAAGGGGGAGAATCTGATTCCAGAGTCATCCCATCGTGACATTCAAAATGTCCGGTTTCAACAAAAAAATATGAAGTGTGAAAGAAAGAAATAAGAAAGTATGGCTCATGAACAGGAGAATGAAAAGAAGGGAACAAAACTGTCCCTGAGGAATCACATAAAAGGGGCTTACCCTAAGTTCTGCCCTAAAGTCTCAGGCGAAGATTTTAAATCCACTGCCTCGAGTATGCTCAAAGAGCTAAAGGAGACCGCAGACGACTGAGGGAGACGAGAACAAAGTATCGACAAATAGAGAACATCGATAAAGACAGAGAAATCACAGAAAGTCACCGAATGGGAACTTCGGGGCCGGGATGGACACCTGAACTGAAAACCCGCCGGAGAGGTGAGGGCAGACGTGAGCGGGCGGCGGCGGCCGCGGTGAACTTGCAGGAAGGAGGTTGCAGCCCGAGGAGCAGAGAGAGTCAGACACGAAGGAGAAGGAACAAGACACGTGGGCACCACAGCTCTTGCCACGTGCACACGCCTGTGCGGAAAGAGGGTTCCAGAAGCCACGCGGACCCACAGGGATCCTGAGTGGCCCAGACAGTCTGAGAAAGAGCAGAGCTGAAGAACACACCTTGATCTCAGAACTCGCCACACACAAAGCCATCCAGACTGTGCAGGGTGTGTCCACCGCCAGGACGCAGCTGAGCATCCAAAGTACAACACACGTGTCTACATGGCTAGTCAATTTTTGACAAGGGCTGAGGCTGAGGCAGGAGGATTGCTTGAGCCCAGGAGTTTGAGGTTGTTGTGAGCTGGGCTGACACCACGGCACTCACTCTAGCCTGGGCAGCAAAGCGAGACTCTGTCTCAAAAAAACAAAAACAAAAACAAAAACAAAATAATACAGCCAGACCCCACCTCACTGCAGGCACAAAAACCACTCAAAAGGAAACCATGACCTAGATATGACCTAAAAAACCGTGTAACTTTTCTAAAAAAGCAGGGGGCAAATCTTCATGACCTTTGGATTTGGTAAAAATGACACCAAAATCACAAGCAATGGATGAAAAAAAAAATACAGTTGACTTTGCTAAAATTTAAAACTTTCATGCATTTAAGGACAGTATCAACAGAGCTCAAAGGAAACCGACAGAATGGGAGCAAGTGTTTGCAGATTCTGTGTCTGACAAGGGTCCGTATCCAGAACACAGAAAGAATCGATCCAGAAGGACGTGAGGAGCGTGGAACAGCCACAAGGGCCACTGCGCGTGCTGGGCCCACGGCGTGAGCAGGATCCAAGCACAGAAAGGCACGGCCGTGGGGGCAGGTGGGGTCGAACCTCGCGCGGTTCCTGGATTGGCCGCACAGGGTGCAAGTGGGACCGCAGGGAGTCTCCCTCTAGAGAGTGACCTGCAGCTCCCGCCCGAGCTGTGCCCACTTTGGAGATGCATCCCCCTTGCCCAGCGTGTACCTCTAGCGTTTATTGTAACGCGTGTGCACCGCCAGAGCCTCGGTGGGAGGAAAACCGTAAGTATGACATAAACTCCTCTCCTCGTCTGGGCAGCAGTTCCGGGCCCTCGGCAACCTGCGCACCGCAGGGCGCTGGCCAGGCCGGACCAGGGGCCCCGCGACGCCCCTTCCCTCGTGGGCCAACCGCCGGCCACGCCGTCCGCCTTCCCGCCGATGCACCTCCCCAAACCACCTTCCTTTCCTGTGGCACTCCCTCCTTGCCTCCCTCCCGCCACATCTTCCACGGAGCGGGGCTGGGGACCCACAGCACCGCCGGCGTGAGCGCACTTCCGTTCCCGCCGGCTGTCCCGCACCTGTGCGGGGTTTCCCTGCCTCATGCACGTTTCAGCCTTTCACTCCCACGTGGCTCTCCCAGCGGTGAGCGGCACCACGCAAGTGCGGCTTCCGGACAAGCAAGGCTGGGGCTGCCCGTTAGCGATGACGCCGGAAATGGACTTCACGCCCTGCAGGGAGCAGTGCGGCTGTGCGGTGGTGACAGCGGGTCTGAACCGGGGTCTGCACGCAGCAGCTCGGCACCCCGCCCCGCCTGGGCCTCCCTCTGCTGGGGAACCGGGGCCGCGACAGCACTCACCCGAGGAAGAGGTAAGTTTCGAACTGAACGAACACCTACAAAATGCGTGGTGCGGTGTACGTTAGCAACTCAAGTCTTCCCTTGGCATTCGCAGTGGGTCCCAGGATCCCCCACCCCCAAAGTCTGCAAATCCCACCCCACGGCTGGCCCTGAGGAGCCGTGGACATGAAGCTGGCCCCAAATCTGCACGTTTCACGTTCTGGGAATTCTGCGGTTTTGAGCTTCGTTAGGTTGAGTCTGGGGATGAGGGACTCGCGGATACAGGGGGACGACTGCATTTACTGAGCAAACATCCTCAGTAAGTGGACCTGTGGGGTCAACCTCGTGGCTCCAGGGGCCTCTGTGCTGCCTTCCAGTGGGGCTGGTCAGGCCCCGGGTCACGGGCTGCTGTCACCCTGCGTTTGGGACTCGGCCTAAGAACAGGAAGCTCCAGGTCTCTGCATGTAATAAGAACACGGCAACTTGATGCTCTCTTAGCTGACGGGGCTACGGAGAACAAATGTTTGGTGACTGCAACGAGTTCTGCTTCCCGGGCGTAACTACGGAGGTGGTGGAGCATGTTATTTTTATGATGCGGATTTTGGAATCGACTCATTCTCACAGGGCTCAGGGAGGGGGCATCAGACCCTGCATCTGACGGGGGGGGGGGGGGAGGACAAGCCCCAAAGGGGCCCGAGGTGAAGGCCAAGCTCAGCACCGGCCCCAGCTCTGCACACTTTCCCAGCACACGACACGTATGTAGCCACCAGCAGAGAGGCATCCAACTCAGACATGCCCTGTCTGCAACTAGAAGGTGCCACAGGCCGGCGACTAATGACGGCCAAACATAGCAGACTGTGTTCCACGCCCAGGAAACCATTTGGATTCTCTTAAAGCAGGTGTCCTCAAACTACAGCCCACAGGCCACGTGCGGCCCACCGGGTGTTTTTGCCGCTGCTGCCTGTCCTGCTTAGCAGCTAACTCGTCCCGGGCCCACAGTGCGCATGTGTGGAATGTGCGCCGCGCTCTCCAACGGCCCTCCCACGGTCTGAGGGACAGCAAACTGGCCCCCCCTGTTTAAAAAGTTTGAGGACCCCTGTCTGAAAGGATTGGTGTCCGTATGTGTAATGATTCCCAAGCGCTGTTAGGTTGGTAGTTGAATATGTCAAGCCCCACGGATTGGAAGGAAACTGATGTACGTGAAAAATACCGGTTGTTCAGTGTAGGAAAGCAAAATGAAAATCTTCTAGTTAATTACCAGGTGTCAGTTTACCTCCCTAAATTTCTCCTTTCTTCCTTCAACAATTTGAAAATTTAAAAATAGATAGCAAGAGACAGAGGGTAACAGAACACATTAACATTGTCCTAGCTTTCCTTGCACGTCTCAAAGCGCGGTTCTGCCCCGAAGGCACACGCTTGTTTTTTGGAAACGACCGGTGCAGCTGGGACGGCTGCACACTGGGAAGTCCAGCCCCGTCACTCACTGGGCTCCTCAGCCACGCTGCCATCCGTCCCGTCTCCCTTGTTTCTCTTCCAAGGACGGCCCTCCCGCTGGGCTATTGTTGGGTTCTAGAAATACCCCACTGCTTATTTCAGTAATTTTTCTGACACACTGGCAAATGTTTGGACTGTATTTTAGCAAAGAGAAATAAAATAGATGGTAACAGAAACGGGACATCATGCATTTTATTTAGCACTAATGAGGCTTAGGACACGGACTTAATCCTAACCCACTCAGTAGCTTTTGCCGTAGAGACACTTCTGTTCTGGGACCAAAGTCTCTATGTGCTAACCCTGACTGGCCACCTGTGAAATGTGGTCATTTGTTACCAAGGAGACTGAGTAAGAGTGGGGGGCATCCAGCCACGCCCAGGGAAGAAGCAGGCAGCCACGTGCCGGGCCAAGTCCTTCCACCACCGACACATCAAGTCCACACAACAGCCCTTGAGGCAGGCTCCATTAATATCCATGTTTTTCAGATGCACAGAGAGGTTAAGCAATCTGTCCAAGGTCACACAGGTACTATGAGATTGACCTAGGATTTGGACCCAGACGGTAGGTCGGACTCCACCTCATGCTCTTAGATACACTGTAGCGTCTTTCAATAAAGCACCAAGGCCAGAACACAGGAGCTGCTGGGTGGCAAGATCCTATTGCCTCTGTATTTTAAAGCTTTTGCCTAATGGCTAAGTACCTAATAAACGAACCCTTACCCAGAGTCAGTGCTGTCTTCTTGCGTAAGCAGCACAGAGCGTTTACATGAAAACGTAAGTGCCGGCATCCTGTCTCCCTGCTCCCACCTGGGCGGCCTGAACGGACGCTCTGCTCGTGCCGTGGGCTTTGCGGACGGCCCATTCCGACTCCTTACCTGAAGACGCACAGGATGATGCTTCCGGTCGCCAGGGACATCAGAGAGACGCTGTAGCCCAGGGTGTAGACGGCCTTCACCAGCACGTAGAACATCACCTGCAAAGAGGGGAACAGGTCCGAGAGCTGACGGCCAGCGCCAGACGCAGGGAGGACGCCCCTGCAGACGCCCCCCAGGAGGAGCCCGGCCGGCGCTGGCCGCGACCACCAGGAGCCCACGGCCCGCCGAGGCTGCCTCTGGTCTGCGCGTCTCGTGCCATCTCGTGAAACTAGTCCCTACACACGGAGGGGAAAACAGTCCACGATGAACTTCATTTTTGTCAGAAAGCCCCAAAATCTGTGCGAGTGCTACCAGACCTCACTGCTATTTCACAACACAAAATCTGAAGCAGAACACAAAAGGCCGTGCCCTGGTTTACTAGTTTGGACTTAACTACAACTTTACTGTTTAATCGTGATCTGCAACATCTTACCCAGATGTTTTGCATTGTAGGAATTCTCCTCTTGGGGACTCGGGCCCTGCTCACTTACGGCAGCTCATGAAAGGGCAAAGGGCAGTGCTGACAGGGTCCCTCCTGCCCCGTCCTGCTGTCCCCGTTTCACTCTGGAGATGCCATTAACTACCATGCTCACCTCACCTGACCTCCACCCTCCCTCACCTCACCTGACCTCCACTCTCCCTCACTTCACCTCACCTGACCTCCACTCTCACCTCCCCTCACCTGACCTCCACTCTCACCTCCCCTCACCTGATCTCCACCTTCCCTCACCTCACCTGACCTCTACCTTCCCTCACCTCACTTCACCTGACCTCCACCCTCCCTCAGTTCCCCTCACCTGACCTCCACCTTCCCTCAGCTCACCTGATTTCCACACTCCCCTCACCTGATCTCCACCCTCCCTCAGCTCACCTCCACCTTCCCCTCATCTGACCTCCATCCTCCCTCACCTGAGCTCACCTGACCACCACCCTCCCTCAGCTTACCTGAACTTCACCGTCCCTCAGCTCACCTGACCTCTACCCTCCTTCAGCTCACCTGACCACCACCCTCCTCTCACATGACCTCTACCCTCCCTCAGCTCACCTGAACTTCACCATCCCTCCTCTCACCTGACCTGACCTCCACCCTCTCCTCACCTCACCACCACCCTCCTCTCACATGACCTCTACCCTCCCTAACCTAACCTGACCTCCACCCTCCCTCAGCTCCCCTCACCTGACCTCCACCCTCCCTCAGCTCACCTCACCTGCCCTCCACCCTCCCTCACCTCACCTCACCTCATTTGACCTCCACCCTCCCTCACCTCACCTCACCTGACCTCCACCCTCCCTCAGCTCCCCTCACCTGACCTCCACCTTCCCTCAGCTCCCCTCACCTGACCTCCACCCTCCCTCAGCTCCCCTCACCTGACCTCCACCCTCCCTCAGCTCACCTTACCTGACCTCCACCCTCCCTCCCCTCCCCTGACCTCCACCCTCCCTCACCTCACCTCACCTGACCTCCACCCTTCCTCACCTCACCTCACCTGACCTCCACCCTCCCTCAGCTCACCTCACCTGACCTCCACCTTCCCTTAGCTCACCTGATTTCCACACTCCCCTCACCTGACCTCCACCCTCCCTCACCTCACCTCACCTCCATCCTCCCTCAGCTGACCTGACCACCACCCTCCTCTCACATGACCTCCACCCTCCTTCCCCTCACCTGACCTCCACCCTTACCTCATCTGACCACTACCTGCACCTCACCTGACTACCTCCCACCCTAACCTCACCTGGCCACCAGCTGTGCCCTGCAGAGGGAAGGCCTGCAGGAGGGCAGAGGGGTATTTCTTCTTCCCTCTCCACCCCAGGCTCCGGTACTCGGGGGCTGTTCAACCCCTGACCTGCCCCTCCAGCCCGAGAGAACTGCGTCCCGTGTGGCAGGGACTAGAGGGGGCACCGTTCTCATTCCTGGGGTGTCAGCTGCCCAGACATCTGCGAGGAGTCCTGCATTCGGCACTTTTGGTTTTACACTTTGCATCTGCTATTTCCTGTTGAACCCTGAATCAACACTGTTCCTTGCATACACAATAGGATTTCTGGTGAACTCAAATCCCCATAAAAAGAACATCAGACCGACCAGGAACCTTCTCTACTCTAAGCTTTTAGAACTAGAGACGGTGTAAGAAAGAGAGGACCCCAGGAACCAAGGCAGTTCCGAGTCTTGCCTGCAATGCCTCAGAAGCCGTTTCTTCTGCCCAAATCCCCCTCCAGAAAAGCCCTCGTTTCTCTGTGGTGCCCCCGGCCCCCTGTGCACGCCCCCCACGACCACACCGTCCAGTGTGGGGTGCTCCAGACCCGGCATCAAGCCTCACATTTATGTGAGGCACCCACGGTGCAGAGCTGAGGTTTGAGCTCCTCTGAAACAACCAAACACTTTTGAGAAACACGACATTCAATCCAACGTGTGTCAGAGATGAACACAGAATTTCCGGGAGCAGGTTTTCCTTTAAGGGGCTGCCTCTGCACCATCTCCTGTGTCCCGGGGACACCTGTTCCTGCGTCCTACCTGGGACTGCAGGGTGCCACGCAGCGCAGGGGCAGCCTCTGCCCGGATAGTGGAGAGGACCCACAGGTGTCTCTGAGTTGCATCCACCTCATACCCTGCACCCTGCACCCCGCATTTTCCTCTGTGATCTGGGGCGACCAGGACAGGGTTGGAGAGGCGACAACCCCAGGGAGGGCTGCCCTATATCCTCGTGCCTGGGGAGGGCTCAACAGCGGACTAACACATCTGAGAAAGATAACACTGGTAAATATTTAATGAGAAAACTAAGTGTATAGTTCAGGTAATCAAGCCTAGCATAACCTGGCAAATCAGTATGTTAATACAATTTTAGAGGAGATTTTTTTCCCCTGCCTTATTAAACCTCAGGAGAAAAACCAAAAGCCCCTGGTGAGTTGAATACTGGTGCTCTCCAATATGCCTCTTGCCACATGTGGCTGTTTAGATTGAAATTAGTTAAACGCGTCTAAAACCTAACCCCCACTTACTCAGCTGCACCAGCCACGTGTCACGTGCTCCAGGCCACGCGTGGCCAGTGTCACCACGCTGGACGGAGCAGACAGCTCTCCCAGCACCAGAGACCCGCTGACGACCGTCCACCCACACGGCGACCCCCATGTCGTCAGTGAACCCTCAGACACGGCATCCTCACTCGTCACCCCCACTCGCAGGGCCACACAGATGCTTGGATCCGACTGAGAGTGTCACCTCTGTCCTGCGTCACAGCTCTGGGGTTCGCTCCCAACGCAGAGCCAAGAGTCAGGGTGGGTGGAGGGCAGTGATCGGAAGCTGGCGGCCGTGGGTGCAGTCGCCCTCCCAGTACACGGAGCACAGGCGGCTGGGACCAATGCTGACTTCCTGCTGGTGGCCCCGCCCTGGCAGGTGATGAGTGACCCTGTCCCGGCACCTGGAGTGACACTCCCCTCGTGATTTCAAGGCTTCCAGATTTCTTCTCGTCAAAATGCTCAGCCCCCAGTGGGCACTTTCCATCTCGAGAACGGACAATAGCAGCTCTGGTCATCCCAGGGCTCTAAAACACCATGATCTCATACTAGAAAGAGAAATAAAATCCAGCAGGAAACGCACACATTTGGCACAAAAGGGCTTGATCTGCAGCTGTGACCACAGAAGTCAAGTCCAGCACCGACTTCGGGAAGAAACATTTGCAAGACCTTGAAGTTCCTTCCGTAGGTCCAAGATCCTGGCGGGGCCAAGGAGAAGGGCAAAGGAAAAGGGCCGCTGGAGGTGGGCTGGGTGGGCCGGCCCCTCGTGTCCCGTCTGGACAGCCAGGTTGCGACAACCCCCTGCTGGCCCCATGGGAGCCGCCCAGGCATCCCCAGAGGTGAGCGGCAAGCCAGAAAACACTGAAACTGGAGCTCATCGAGCGCCCGGCACCGAGCTGTGAGTGTCACTTGCCGCCCCACACGGCGCAGGAGACCTGAGGCAGCTCGCGTCACCCTGAGCGCTGGTGGCCCTTGGAGGAGGCCGGAGCCCGGCCCCGTGCAGATTCAGCTTTGTCTCCTCCGGGTGGGTGGTTTCCAAGCCCGTGCAGAGGGTCTTCCGAAGAGGCCTCCACCTCTAGATCCCCGACTCTCCCCTGGCGCCGCCTCCCGCCGCGGCCCCCCTGGAGTGCACCTGTCCCCACAGGGGCCTTCGCCCGAACCCTAGTTTGAGGGTCTCCAAGGCTCGGCCTGTCCCTGGCACGCCATATTCTGCTCCCGGTCATTCTTTGGTGGCGGCTCTGAGACTCCTGAGGTGCAGCCTCCTCCTGGCCGGAGTCGGGGGTCTGGCCAGTCACGGGCACCCCCAGGAGTCTGACGATTCACGAGAGCAGGGGGGAGAGTTTTCTCGTTGCCGTTAGGTCCAGAGAGGGCAGACGCGGGGTCACAGGAGCCTGCGAGTCCTTTGCTAAACTGGAATTCGTAATACGCAAAGAGCCACCAAAGGCCGTCCTGTTGCCCGAGTCACCAGGCATTTGCTGGATGAAGGAATAAAAGCACGGAGGCGAACGTCGGAAGGCTGGCTCTTTCCTGGAGGGCGAGTCGGGGGCACGGAGGAGCTCGGCTCTCGTGTGACGGCGATGGCCCTCGAGGCCCACATAGCCCGGCACACGGAGATGGTGGCCAGAGTTTATCAGGCTGGTGGCAGATTTACAGTCATACACAAAGTGTCCTGTGCAGGCTGACGCAGTAGGTATGTTTATCTTTTATTTATTTATTCAGAGACAGAGTCTCACTCTGTTGTCTGGGCTAGAGTGCCATGGCATCAGCCTAGCTCACAGCAACCTCAAACTCCTGGGCTCAAGCGATCCTCCTGCCTCAGCCTCCCGAGTAGCTGGGACTACAGGCATGCACCACCGTGCCCGGCTAATTTTTTCTATATATGTTAGTTGGCCAATTAATTTCTTTCTTTTTTTAGTAGAGACGGGGTCTCGCTCTTGCTCAGGCTAAGTCTCGAACTCCTGATCTTGAGCGATCCTCCCACCTCGGCCTCCCAGAGAGCTAGGATTACAGGCGTGAGCCACGGTGCCCGGCCCACAGTCGGTATGCT